ATATTCAATCTTTCCATAATATTTCCACAATGCTTTAAGGATATGGTTGATAGAGCTTAAGGCCGAAAAGCAATTAACAAGGAAAGATAGGATATGATAATGTAGATATTCAACATCGAGAGTTCATGATCTACCATCCTTCACTCCCCTTGTCAGTCTGTCGTCTATAATCTCTATCTCCGTCACTTGTCTCTGGTCTGCCATCTTTGTCTGTCTTTCGTCTACCGTCTTTGTCTCCTGTCTCTGCTCTAGCGTTTACGTACATTGTTTGCTGTCCACTAGCCACAGTCTACCGTTCGTGTCATTGTCACTTTGTCTCTTCTTCCTTTTTCTTCCTTCCTCCGTCCAGTATTTGTTGCAGAACAACTTATCAAAAGTTAATGACATGCGAACAAGTGCGCCACTCTACCGCTCCGCGCGCGCACCACCCGCACGCCGGCCGGTCAGACTGCGACTGCGGCTGGCATGACCCGAGGCAGGACCGCAAGTGGGCGGAGCCAAGCCGCAGTGTGCTAGTACGTCACGACCAATCAGAGGGGAGGCAGCGCCCAGCCTGTGCCAGCCTCTAAGCAGGGCTCTGACGACCTTAACATTATCAGTCAATGACATTTGCCTTTATTTTTCATTTTTTGTTAATAGACCATATTAATAAAAATTAGGTAGGGATCTCAAACTACCACTGCCAAAGTTTAGTTAAAATCAAACGCATATACAGCGAGAAATAGCCGAAAAGGACTGTTCCACAGGGTCTGAAATGCATAATAGTACATGGCAGCGATGCAAAGTTCTAAACAGTTGATATAAAACTTTTTGATCATATTTAAATTCACTATGGTTTTGCACACTACCTTCATAATACACGATCCTCCACGGGAGAGGAAATACACAAACCTAAACACTGTATTGCTGCACACCTACTGGGCATGCAGTCACACGTCACGCGCAGATATCATGCAGCGTAATGATGCCGGCATGGTCGCGCTGAATGTTGATGGATGGCCGCCTCTTCTGAATAAAGACGGCCTCCAGCACCTTCAGCCGCTTACGGTTCGACTCGCGAGATTATATGCGCGTGTTTTCCGCCAAGTCACTCCGGGTCACGTCCCTTCCATGTTGCAGCTTCATGTGTTTTTAATTTCGCCGTTCTGCTTGTGAAATGTGAGGCGTTTAGACAGTGTGTTGGTGGTGTGGCCAATGTAGCATGATTTCGGGCGTGGAGGCTTGCAGTCCTCATCGGGGCATATGAATTCATATACCACATTGGTACACTTGAGGTCCGGTTCCTTGTGCTGGTTGTTCCGCATGATCATGTTTGCTGTCTTCTTGTTTTTGTAGTAGATCAGCAGCTTCACGTTGTTTCCGTCTGTGGGGGTGACATGTTTCTTGACAATGTCAAGAAACATATATATATATATATATATATATATATATATATATATATATATATATATATATATATATATATATATATATATATATATATATATATATATATATATATATATATATATATATATATATATATATATATACATATGGATGATGATGTAAATAATAAACCAAATTATTACAAATGCATTCAAATATATTCAAAAAGACACACAAAGCTTTCGGTTCATGGAACCTTGATCACTGTGCACTAGAGGGACAGCATTACGCGCAGCGTAATAAATCAATTTTCATTAAAATCGGCCCAGTAGCGGCCGAGTTATTGCCAGAATAATTGTTGCGTCTCCTCTTGCCCGGCGGTGCCCTGCGCCGGTGTTCATTGCCAAAGGTCAGTGACCTTCCGGCTCTGATTTCGCTCAGCTTTGCAAGCGAAGAAACTGAGCCTACAGCGCGTGCTCTCTGCTCGAAGCCTGCCGCGGCCAAAATTCCGCAAAGATGCGCCCGCCACGTGCACACCGCTGCACGCACCCCCTCGAAAAGTTGATACGACAAACAGATGCACGCGTCCGACTTGTGTCGAAAATTTCACCCCCGTAGCCCGCACCGTCGCCTCGCAACAGCCCGCCAAGCGTGACTGACGCGTTACACACGGACATTACGTATGTACGTATGATTGTATGTATGTATGTAACGCGTCAGTCACGCTTGGCGGGTTATTGCTCCGGAACGGTGCGGGCTATGGGGGTGAAATTTTGGACATAAGTCAGACGCGTGCATCTGTTTGTCGTATTAAATTTTGGTGGGGGTGGGTTCGGTGGTTTGCACGTGGCGGGTGCATCTCTGCCGCATTTTGGGCCGCGGCCGGCGCCGATCAGAGAGCACGCGCGTTAGCCTCAGTTTCTTCGCTTGCAAAACTGAGTGAAATCAGAGCCGGAAGGTCGCTGACCTTTGGCAATGAACACCGGCGCTGGGCACCGCCGGCCAAGAGGAGACGCCAAATTTATTCTGGCAATAACTCGACCGCTACTGGGCCGATTTTATTGAAAATTGATTCATTACGCTGCGCGTAATGCTGGACACCTAGTGCACAGTTATCAAGTGATCACAGTGATTTGCACAGTGATCAAGGTTCCATGAACCGAAAACTTTGTGTGTCTTTTTGAATATATTTGAATGCATTTGTAATAATTTGGTGTACTATTTACATCATCATCCAACCTGTCATGGATACTCAATATATACAATATACATATATATAAGCACGCACTTCTTATATATAATAAGCACTTCTTATTATAATAATCACTTCTATATAAAGCACTTACATGTTTCCCTAGTCATGAAGTATCGAATGATTATATATGTTGTTGAGCTGGGACGGATTCATTTGGTAAAACATTGTTCAAACACCAGCTTTAAGTTTTTATTGGGAGCTTTCGGAAGCGTTACAGCTTCCTTCGTCAGCCTTGGATAGAATTCTTAAAAAGACAGATAAACACGTAAGTACAAAACAATTCAAAATTAAAAAACGCCACTTTAACTTAAAGAGGCGCAGATATTCGTTACGAAACGAGCTTTTCTCGAATATCTGCGCCACTTTAAGTTTAAGTGGCGTTTTTTGAATTTTGAATTGTTTTGTACTTACGTGTTTATCTGTCTTTTTAAGAATTCTATCCAAGGCTGACGAAGGAAGCTGTAACGCTTCCGAAAGCTCCCAATAAAAACTTAAAGCTGGTGTTTGAACAATCTTTTACCAAACGAAGTATCGAATGATATGTTACTCGCCTATACTTGCTCAGGTCATGTCAACCGAACCGTGACCTGAGGTCAAAATTGAGAGTGACCTTAGTAGGTCAAAATACAAACCATTTGTTTCGCAGTCATTAGAGAACTGCAACGGCGTTTACCGTTTCAGGCTATCACTAACGGTTCAGAAGTTATTGACGCAAAAGTGGTGCTACTAAAAAATACGCTTTTAGATTTTTGACTCCTAGCGCCTCAAATATCAAAAATAGCTGAAATCTGTTGGCAGCTATTCGAAACGAAATTTCCTCAGCTATCAGCTGCTTTTTCCGTTTTCCTCTGACTTTCCTAGATACTGAACTAGACCTCATTCTTTGAAAACTCTGCCAAATCGCAAAATTTTGGCTTTTTGGGGGTCTCAGGGTTTTTTCGTTTTTGATGTTAAAAAATGTCAAAAATGTATTTCCCGTTGAGAGCAATCCAATGCCGCTTACCGGATCAAAATCCGTTCATTAGTTTCCGAGATCTCAGGGGGGGGGGGCGAAATCGAATCGGCCCCCGCCAGTTTCTTGTCCCGGCGGAGCCCGCCGGAGACGTGGCTTGGTAGGCTTCAGCTTAGGAGACAACCTCGGGTACCGATGGCTTGTCGACTTTGAAACTGGATGACCGTTAGCAGTCAGCCTGCTTGCCAGTTTCCTTTTGGATTTGCCCGTCTTAAGCTCCACACTTCGCGATAATGATCTGCGCTACCCGACTGGCGGAAGTCTTCCTGTCGCGACCTAGCTTGTTCTCAAGCGTCTATCTGCTTCTGTCACGTGACAACCAGCGGCAAATCGTGCGGTAACCCATGCCCAGTGCCTCGGCGACCTGGCTGTGGGCCATGCCGCCGGCAGCTATGCCGACTGCCCCGTTGCAAGACGATTTGCTGTGCCGTTTTGCCATCGCGGACACCTGGTCCGCTCGCCCTGGCTACTGCCCCGAAAATAGCCTCCGTTAACCACTTGACCAGTCAGGGCCACAAAAATTCGAAGGTCACGTGACTAGAATGCAGCCAATATGGTCTCTAGGAGCAATTAACGCCGAAATTATATTGAAATTACGCCGTATTAGGCAAAATAAAGGTTGTGGGAGGATGTGACATTGATTTTGGGTCACCCTGTATCATAGACTACTACATATCTGGACTGGACACGAAATTTCGCCGATTACCATAAGGGTACTGCAGGCGGTGGATGACGGATGTTAATTGCATTTATCACGTGCTGCAATAATGAGTATTTTACTTATAGAATCTCAAACATTCCAAATTTCAACATATTGTTTTCGTTGAGCTTTGTCGGAATTGTAGTTTATACATCTTAATACCAAGTTGGTTTAGTGTGGATCATTGTAATATTTTTTTTTGTGATTTCCCCTTTCTGTACAATCGTTCCACAACACAATGAATTCATAACTTGTGGTTGTATACAGTATGGAAGCTGTTCAACAATGCCAAGATATTGTGCAGTTGCTAACTGTCGTTCAGGACACAAGCCGACGATATGGGACAGGGAAAACAATAAGCCTACCCCACGATTAAGCGTTTTTCGATTCCCCGGAAATAAAGCAAGCAAGAGAAAATGGGCTGAAGCCATTGGACGGAACGTGGAAAACCTGAACGGGGTCAACTGTGGCATATGCGAAAAGCATTTCCGTCCTCATGATTTTCGTGCGGGTGCTAACAGACGCGGCAAGGATCGGAAACGGCGACTTCTGAAGAAAGATGCTGTGCCGTTTGTGGAACTCGCAACAGGCCGCTCAACACCTCATCCGACGAAATTTGCAGACCCATCGGCACGACGACTCCGACAGGAACAAGGGGCCGAAAACCGGACACAGGCATTCTTCGCTGACGACCAGATACAGAACCTTGCTGATCTCTGTCAGAAACTAAAAAAGGAGCACCTGCCCGTGGGCTTCAGGTATGTTTATCAATGGAATTGATATTTTGCATAGGCGTAGGAACGTCACGAAAAGTGGGGGGGGGGGGGCAGACCCCGGTCAGGGACACTTCGATCTCAGTTTGTGGGAACCCCAACCCCCCTAAGAAAAATTTGAGGGCAGTTTTGAACTCCTCTCGTCTTGCTGAATCGTTTGCTGCCTTTATTTTTGTATTTTGAGCAACATTAAATAATGTAGCATGAAATTTGAAAACTTGGCCGCAAAGTGGGGGCATGGCTCCCTGGCCCCCCTGTTCCTACGTCTATAGTGTTTTGTAAGATGTATTTAATTTTTTAGGTATGATAAATGATAATAATATTATGCCCAACTATGTTGAATAGGTACTTAACGGGAGTGACGGATAGATTAATACGATTTAACCCACCAATTACATATTTGATGTAGGTAACTGTTTCGTTGCAACGTCTTGAAAAAATGATACTACTGAAAAATAAATAGATGCAAATAGATGCTTGAATATCGTCTAATGAATTTTCTTTTTTCAGGGTGGCCGAAGTCAACGTTGAAGACGTGACAGTGATCAGCATAAGAAAGGAGGAAGTTAGAGAACCGGCTGGCATGCCCGTTATAACCCACAACATCACCATATACGACGACCTTCGCTTCAAGCTGCACTGCCAAGGAACTGATGTTTCGGTCAAGACAGTCTCTGATATCTGTTGCGTGCCTGGAGCGTTTTCATCAGTGTCAGAAGTGCTGAACGTGATTGCACGTCTGAAGAGTGTCACTGTGACAGTTGCTGCTCGTCTGTCGGCAGCCACGACGCTCCTCGACACAATCGCCGAGTCCAGCGATGGCGATGTCTGCCCAGTAGTCTCCTTCTGCGCTGAACAACTGCGACTAGTCGCGAAGCCGGCGAACAACAGACGGTGCTCTCAGGAGCTTCTGGGGAACGCAGTGATTTGGGAGAGAATGAGTCCCAAATTGTACAGCACACTTCAACAGTCGCCCTTGCTCTGCATTCCGCACTCAAAAACCCTCCGTCGACTTACATCTGCACTGCAGGTTAGCGCCGGACTCGACAGCACGACAATGGCGTACCTCCGTATGCGAGTTGAAAAGTTGGCGCCACGAGAGCGGCTTATCAATATGGCTATGGATGAAGTCTACTGCGCCCAGACGATGGAGCTGGCCGGCGGGCGGCTGTTTGGCGAGCAAGATGGAGCTATCGCCAAGACTCTGTTCTGTGTCCATGTGAACTCTGTCGCAGGAACATACCAGGACATGATATGCATGCAGCCAGTCCCTCACGTCAAAACATCCGACATCAATGACATCTTCAACAAAACGCTGAAGGGGCTGACCGAGCTAGGACTCACTGTGGTGTCGGTAACAACTGACAACCACCGCACGAATCAAGCGTGGCACAGGTCACTCGGCACGGACGGTCACCACCCGGAATACCTGATAAATCCATACTCTGATGATGAGAAGATTTTCACGCTGTACGATACAGTGCACGTGTTTAAGAACCTCTATTATGGTATGATGAGGAACAAATCACTCCGTCTTCCGCCTCTCCCTGGTTCAGAAGACCAGCGCGACCTAGAAGTCAGCTTCGATCACAGAGGATCTATGAGATGGAGTATGGCAACCCGGCCAAGCTTGCGTACAAGCTTACGGACAGAGTCTTGAATCCATCAGTTCTGGAGCGTGTCAATGTGAAGTTGGCATGGCGGCAGCCACGGACCAAACAACGACTGCGGCCCTACGGTACTTCGCTGAACACCGGCCTGACTGTGCAGTAGGGTGTGTCATTTTGGGCACTTTTTTCGCAAAACATGGTGCTCCACTGATTTTATCGTGCCCCAGACACGTAGAAACCGTGTGACATTTTTTATTTCCCCCAAATATTAACACCCATGCGGCGCCGACCGCCGACACTTTGGCCTATCTCTCAGCATTAGCGACCTCAGCGCCCCTAGCGGCAATGTTTTGAACTAACACGCCCGCTATGCTTTGTGAGCTTACGATCATCATAAAATGCATTTTACCGAAATGACGCCTTGCTGTTGGCTTGTCTGGCACTCAGAATGTTGGTGAAAATGTGATGTTATGCATCTTAAAGCAGGAAATAGTTCTGTGTTAATGTACATAATCATATATTGCATAGTACCTACTACCCCCGATCCCCGTCCTGGTCTGACGGGATACGTACGAGCGCATGTTTATAGTGCCTGCTATTAGGTGTCACATGTTTTTTTTTTGTAGCGTCGTTCACTGCATAGACCCCGGGGAACAGGGGGGGGGGGCAGTGGGGGCGCTTGCCCCCCCCCCCTCCAACTTGAGAGCCGAGTGGGCGCCGCCCCCTCAACATTGATGCAACGATGAAGGATCTCTGCTCACTTTTATGGACCTACATGTCTGTTTTTATATAAACATCAGCACAAGGTATTTCTCTTGCATGTGAAGTGAATGGTTTCTGCTGACTCGGCATCGATTTAAGAACACCTGCTATTATCATCCCACTTTGATTTTATCTGAACTTGATCATAACTTTGGTAGGTCAGATTTTATACTGGACCATTTTGGTTCCGGATGGTATTTGATTTGGCGTGATGAGAACATTATGACGTACAACGGTGGTAAAGTCGTTGATTGATACAGGTTTACTCGCTCCGGTGGGAGGCAGTAGCGGCGGAACACCTTCAATTAAGTGGAGGGGGGGGGCACTGCCGACTTTTGGTCCCATTCTTTCCATGCAACGCCCATAGGGCTAATGTTAAAATGCCCAAATCAGAGGGGGCACGGTGCCCCGGTGCCCTCCCCGTTCCGCCGCCTATGGTGGGAGGGCGGCGTGTGGGACTCAGAAGGAGACTAATGGCTTGTGTTGTGCCTTTGGTAGGACCCTCAGTATCACCGATGCAGGGCCTTCAGAGCCTCCAATTAGGGGCCTTTAGAGGTACTGGTGTGGGGTCCTCACATACGCCCGTGTGGCCCCTCAGAGGTGCTAGTGTGAATCCCTCATAAGCACCGGTGAGGGTCCTCACAGAATACAGACGCCGTTGTGGACCCTCAGAGACACTGGTGTGGGTCCGTTACATGTGGGTGTGTGGCCCTTAGAGCTGCTGGTGCGAACCCTTTAAAAGTCGGCAGGGAGCCCTGAACGACCGGGGAGGGGGACCTCAGACCGGCAAGGGGCCCATAGAGGCCGGCGGCATCTTCAGAAGCCCCGTGGGGTCCTTAGATACCGACAAGGTACTCTGAGACGCTAGTGCGGCCCTCAGTCTCTGATGAAGGGCCCTCAGAGTTGCAGGTAGGTGGCCGGCAGATATGCTTTTGCCGAACCCTCACAGGCGCAGGTGTGGGTACCTCAGAGCCACCAATATAGGGTTGCATAAATGGTGTGGCACTGGCTTGGGGGACCCTCAGTGGTGTCCTTATGGGCCCTTAGAACCACTGGTGTGGGTCTCTCAGAGGTGCTGGTTGTGAACCCTCAGAGGCCCTGCTGAGGGCCCTCACGGTCTCCGTTATGGGATCCTCAGAAGCCGGCGTAGACCCTGACGGAGATCTTAGTGTGGCTACTTAGGGGCTCATGAGGTGCTCTTACGAGACCTGTGAGGTCTTTCTCAGCTGAAATATAGTCAGCGTGGACCCTCAGAGGTCAGTTGGTACCGCAGGGGTCTTTATGGCCGGGTGGGCTCTCAGAAGCACCAGTGAGGGCCCTCAGTCTCACAGTCGTCGTAATGGGGCCGTCTGAGACATTGGTGTGAGGCCATTACTGATTACAGGTTGGCGTAAGGCCCTAGATATGGCCCCTCTTGGGCCGGCAAGGACTCTCAGAGGCACGCTAGCGGCCATAAGAGGCCGGTAAAGGGCCCTCAGAGGCCGCCAGTAGCCTTCAGAAGCCGGCGTGTAACCCTCATGGACAATTTAGTGAGGCTTCTTTGGACTCACGAGGTGCTGTTACGAGCCCTATTCTTTCTGAATCGAAATATGGCCAGCATAGACCCTGAGCGGTAAACTGGTGCCACAGAGCCCCTCCGACCCGAGGGGTCCTCTGAATGCGATAGGGGGGGGACTAGATGGCACGTGCCTCCTGGGACCCCCTGACTACGCTACTATTTCATATGCGTCATGTCAGGTATTTTGGGCTTGCACCCCAACTTGAAGAATGTTCCTGGGCCCCTGTGACAATATATTGTATTCATTATAGGTATTCGTCATTAGCTTGCACTCTCTGCAATCTGCCCATACTATTATTTGTCCCTAGACGCGCTTACAGAAAGCAGGGATAAGCCCATACAGTCAACGGCCTGTTAGTTTAGCAAACAGCCGCCAGGGGCGCTAGGGTCGCCTATGTTGTGAGATAGGGCAAACTTCTCTCGCTCGGCGCCGCCTGGGGGTTAAAATTTGCGGGAAATTAACAATGCCACGCCCTTTCCACATGAGTGGAGCACAATAAAATCGATGGAGCACCTTGCATTGCGATTAGTGACACACCCTACTGTGCAGGTTTCGCCGACACTGCAGCTCTCCTTGAATTCATCAGACGGTGGTTTGATGCATGTAACGTTAAGTCGGCGTACGCAGCGCAACGACTGAACGACAAGAGCCGCATCGCACTGCGAGCTGCATGTGACGACAGCGAGAAGTCACTTGGCTTCATCGCGAGCTTTGGTGACTACATGCGTGCCGTTCTCGACAGCGGTGCTCCGATGACAAAGGACACTTGTATGGCGGTGTTTTATACCTCAAGGGGTCTTGTTGCCCTGGCACGGTACCTTCTGTCAACATATCCAGATCGGCTAGAGTACGTTCTCACGGGGAAAATTCAGTCGGATCAGATTGAAGGTCGTTTTGGGCACCTGAGGAAGCTCGCCGGTGGGAACTATTGGGCAAGCGTGCGCCAGTTCTGGGAAAATGAAGCCATCATCCGCACAACAGGGCTGGTTTGGTAGTCGGGCTTCACCGTGGCCGAAATCGCTTCAAGAATGGACATTCCAAGACAGGAGAAAGGGGAGGAAGACAGCGAGACGGTACGCCATCTGTCAACACTGATCACAGCAAGCGACATCGAAGACGACCTCGATGACACAACCGAGGCTGCGCTCGGCTACATAGCCGGCTACCTCGCGCGCGCAGTCACCAAAGACAACAAGTGCGATTCCTGCGCAGATCTGCTGATCGACAGACGCTCTCCACCACTGGAGGTTCGCTTGGCGGACAACCTGGATCAGACGTCGTTGCTCAGCAATACTTTCATCGGCCTGTTAGATCGAGGGAAGCTGATACGACCCACTTCCACTGCAATCGACATCGCTTCCAGAATCTGCTGTGTTTGGAGGACTCTCGTCAAAGAGCAGAGCAGCAGGCAGCGTCTGTTCGGCAGCAACCTGCCGCGAGCAGTCTTCGTGAATGTGGTGAGTGAAGTCATCACATCGGCCGAGAACGTGACTGTCTCAGACATCAGCTGTGAAGGAGGCCACTGTCTTGCAACTGTAGTATCGCGTATGGCAGGCTCCCTATTCAATTTGTTCGCCAGCAACATGGTCAGGGACGCCAACAGCCGTCTACACGGAAAATGGAAGCGTTCCACAGACCCCGGCGCCAGTACCAGTAAGGAGAGATGCTCTAGGGAAGACCAGAAGCGCCGCAAGTTAAGTGGGAGTAAGAAGACTTAGGACCAGCTCGGCTCCACTGCATCTGCAGGCGCTGACTGACAGCGTTATCTAGTGGCCGATATTTAAGTTACCTTTGTGCACCGGCACAGTATGCCTTCAGGCGCTGACTCACAGTGCCATCTAGTGGCCAGTATGTACGTTACATTTGTGCGCCGGCACAGTATGGCTCAGCGCGACCCGGGTCAAACGTATATACGCCCGCCGCCAGTTCTCCGTGTTTTGTCCTGTTAGTTTCTGGAGCTGGAAGAGTGACATCGCAGGAGCGTCACAGTTCCAATAGTGTATCATTGTGATCAATTTCTGTGATAATTGTGGCCTGCATTCATTGTATTACGATTCATTGTGATGTGCGAATTATCATAAACAAGCAACCACTATCTGCGAGTTTCCTTGTCAACGAAGATGGCAGAAGCGACAAAATGATAACTAATAGCAGACCGACCATCACGTAGCACGCGCAGCACTCTCTCCACTGACCTCTAAGCTGCCAAATGAGCATCAGTAAGCAGGGCGAAGTTCACGCGGTTATAACCATGGGATCAGGGCGTATTTTAAGGGATTTTCACTGGGTCGGCAATCACAATTAGGGGCGGCATTTTGCACTCATAGGGGCGGCACTTGGCATCTGAGGGGGCGGCATACCTGCTGATATTTAATGACCAAAAAAGACACGTTCGACGGTTCTTTTATAACTCTTCCTAAGTAATGATTTCAGATTCAACCTAAGCTCAGCGGTATTACGTTTATTTTTCCGGGATATAGTATTTCTCTCATCATAATGCGATAAATGAACTATAATTTGACCTAACAAAAATAATTTTAAAATTTTACCTGAGGTAAACATGTTACATACCAGTCGATTCGTATCGTCAAGCTTAAAATATTCACGGCGTTTTATGGCTCTATCTAGAACAGTGGTCGGCAGGTCGCACGAGTGTGCCCACTTTATGGGCGCTGGACGGGGCCATTACCCCCACTTGTCATACCCCATTGCTTACACAGCAAGGGTCGCTGATATTCGGCCATATCCTTTGACGCCTCTATTTTTCTGCATAGGTA